AGAGAGGAAGAAAAAAAAAAAACTGACAGAGAAAATGAGAGATGCCAGAAACTGTTCCAGTGGCCAATTGCCAAATCCAGCACAAAACAGCCTCCAAGAAAATAAAGCTTGGAAACCACTGAAACATCTCTGATAACAAATACCAGCTTGCACAGCCTTTTAAAGATGTACCTGTTTTTGTCTGGATAATTACCCTGCATTGTCAACCACGCTAATTAAGAGTAAACCAAACAGTCCCAAGCATTTCTTTGGGAAGGAGACCCCAAAACCTTCAATAACTTGACCAAAATGTTCTTTGGGAAAATGGACATCATCTAAAGCATTTGTACTACTTCGATTGTTTAAAATGCAACTCACCAAAGCTTGCTGGCATGTTTAATTCTAGGTGCTGCGTATGCAAGACCACCACACTAGTGGCACATATTGTACCGTCATCTCCCTAATTACCCTCCAGTTATTTTTCTCCAGTAGGTCTAGGAAATTGTCAAAATAAGTCCCGCAACATCTACCAGCAACAAATTCAGCACAACAGACACGAATTTGGTCCCACCAAATAAAAAAGACGACGGAAAATACATTTATTTGTAGAAAATATGTCCCTTCCCATCATCATCAAATAGATGATGGGTGAATTTCTTTCCTTGCGCTGCACCCTGGGAGCGAGACATTTAACTAGCACACATAGTACAGTCCTGGATTCATCATAAATAGAGTGTATTTTTAAATGCATTAATTATGAAACAGATGCTTCCAGGACTCCAATGGAGGACATTTTAAAATCCCAGTGTACACTTTTCTGAATCTGTGCAATTTCAAGTTCTCTTTTTTTAAATCCACGTCATATTTATTTAAAACCAAGGGGGATTCAACTGTTGCCCAAAAATTTTCAGTGCGTTTAATACAGTTTAGAAAATGCCTTCTGCTTTGTGAGTTTTGCACAAATCTGGATCCCAACCAGGTTTCTCCAATTTCTTTGCTGTGATACAAGGGTTTAAAGATTAGCAAGAAAGTGAACGTAAAGTTTCCACTTGCCTCTTCATACTAGACGTTATTTCTCTCTGCAGCATACCTCAAGCTCCTCCTCCACGCAGGCTGCAAACCCGATCGAGAGGAGCACGACACACAGCTGAGCTTCCGACTGACACCGGCCACGTGACAATGATGGCAGGTCACTCGGCCTCTTTGGAGAGCACTTCATGGATTGACTAGTCACCAAAGAGTACTTGAGAGCATCATGAAACACCTCTCGCTAAGAGGTGATGCTTGCATCTACAATATGCCTGGCCTCAGTAGCCCCAGGAGCACAAGTCCCATTGTCCCTACTGAATAGATCGCCGGTATAACCACGCTCTAAGCTGCCTACCAAGAAATTACTACCCTAAAATCGCTACAAGTGTTTTATGTAGCTAACAGACACTACAGGGAACTGTGCAATCAAAGCATCTACTCTTGGCAGGTTTTGAACACGGAATAGAAGAACTCTTAAACCTAGTTCTGTCAAGAGTCTTTTATTGCCCTTGCTGCTACAACAGCAAAAATGCAGTATCTAGGCATCAACAGCAAAACAGAGCTGCATCAGCACTGCACTGTTACTTGGGGAAACGGCAAGTCCTCTGGCCAAAGGGTGCCAGAGATAAGCAGGCACAACTTCTCCAACTAAAATCGTGGCTGAATTTGTACTGCGCATCCTGATCCTCATTTAAAGCTGTGCAGTTGGAAGGTGTTAGCTAGTATGCTCTACAACTTCAGCACAGACAAAGCCGTGTAAACTTTACCGAGTCAAACTAGGTCAAGAGAAAGATTACACGGGCTCCTCTGGAAAAAGAGAAACAAAAAGCTGATGCAAACGGCTCCTTCTTGTCCCCATATCAGCCCCAGGTACAGTCCAGGAGTTATCACAGGGGTCATATCCACAACTCTCGTCTTCTGCACTGACCTCAGAATGAGCCGAGCTAGGGGGCAGCTTTTTTCCCCCAGATGTTCACTCTGCCTGCAGCTCCGGGAAGGTGGGAAGGCCTGTATGCTGCTTTGTTTTGCTGGCTCTCTTGAATAAACTCTCAAAATGTTTAAAAAAAAAAAAAAAAGTGGCGGTGGGGGGAAATCCCTAACCAAGAGTATCAATTCAAATGCATTATTCACATGTATTTTTACAGCAGGAGAACAACGCAGATGCAAGCTTACCTTTACAAAAGGGAAGTTTGCAATAAGGAAGTGTGTAACATGGCGTTCCTGGTCACCACACCAATGCTGCCTCCCCTTCCTTAGCGCACGAAGG